CAGAATTCATGCTTTCCAGTATACTTTAAGAGTAATAAATCAAATACCTTCACTTTGCCATTCTGTTTGTATTTTCTCCAGTGATAGCCTGAACTTCCGTACAAAAGAGTATAGCTCTTCACCCATCCCTTGGGTACTCCCTGTAAGGCGATTTTGGTTACGGTCTTGGTAATGCGCAGGTCTATCTCCAGCCATTGCTTGCTATCTTTGGTCTTTGAGCACCAAGCTTCGCCTCTCTTTGTGTGGATGCGGCTAAAACGAGCATCGTGCTTAGCGCTCAGGCTTGTGGAAGCTCTGATTTCACTTGACCGGATTTGGCCGTCTTCCATTCCAAGAGGACCGGCGCAGCGAGGGGCTGTGTGGAAAATAAATTGTCAAACAAAATGTAAAATGAAAAGAATCTATTCGATACACTGACATGACAAACAAAAATATAATACGATTAAGACAAGGAGAAAACTGGAATGCTAGAGATAAAGGTGTCAATATGAAAGTTTTAAAAGCACGAGAGTCGCTTATCATGAATGTGTGAATTGTATCACATGATGACTCGATGAAAACATTTTATTAAATCTAAAGCAGTCTACCAACATGCCAGTTACCCTTTTCCAGATTGTGACAGCCATACAGTTCTACTCTCAAGGCTGGTGCTTTGTGCCAGGTCAGGGGGATGATTCGTACATAACGAGTTACAATGGATTGGAGAAGATCGTTGATGACAACTGTGCTTTTGTCTGAATTACCGTTGAACACCTGATGAAAGATAAAAATAAACTTATTGATTCCAAAGAAAGAACCCAGAAAACTCTTGGAAGTCCAATGTGAGATTGAATTGGGAAAACAAGAATGGAGCCAAAGACTGAGTCTTTTTAGATTTGAGAAAAGAGGACAGAAAAAATGGAAAAAAAGCAGTGAACGAAAGAAATAATAAAATGGGAGATAAGAGTGGAAAGGAKGAGTGTTAACTTATACCATAACTTCTCCATCTGCAGGGTTTCTAACTCGGTCCCAATGTCTCCCGTCCATACTGTGCAGTACGCGGTARCTCCTCGTCCATTCGTAAGCCGCCTAAAAGACAATGCAAATATTTCAGYATAAGAAAATAGTGATATTGCTGTCAGAACTTTTCTGAGATAGCAGTTTGCATTGCATTGTGGTCTAGATTCAGTACAAACATCTTTTGTTCATGCTGCCAAATATGGCATTGTTTGTACTGAATCTAGACCATAATGCACCATGATTTTGGATTTCAGAAATGGTCTATGGGGAAACAGTCGTGGAATTGATACCTGATTTCCCTGTGTTGCAATCTTTGAGAYAACTGTCARTCGAGGAAGGTGGATTTGCAGCCATTCGCTGGCTTGAAACATGTTCTCACTTGAGATAGTAACGTTAGAGCCTCTCTTTCCTTTGCTKTTCTTAATTAGTTTAGRACACCAGGCTGAAGCACTGTTAAGTCGGCCACGGTTTGCTGAACACTTTGCGTTCTTCACTGACGATGCTGTCATGGCACCTGGAACGACTCGTTTGTCCTCTATTCCAACTGGCATGCTACATAAATCGTCTGAAGTGAAAATACAATTGCATAAAGTCAGTAAAATGTGCGCTTCCTTTCCTCCCTACCTCGATTCATTTTATTTAATATATCGCATTCATTCTATTATGATTCTTTTCAATCCCAATCAGTTTTTTTTATCCCATTTCATTCCATTTAGGTACTTATAAGACGACTCACCTGTGTGACATCCATACACTTCAATTCTTAGTGAAATTTTACTGTACCAAGTGACGGGCCAAAATCGGACATATCGGGCATAAATGGCAGGGTCAATAGAGTTCTTTACCAGCGTGTATTGGTCAGTGTTACCATGGAAGACCTAAGAGAAAATATACATGCGGATAATTTTCTATCCCTTTCAATTCGAATAGACTTTTGGACTTCTTTCATCGTTATTTTGCATCGTTAGATGGCAGTCATCGTATCTGAAGTCTTGAAAACAGAATTGATTTCCTTTAAGATGGGTCAGTAATATATGCATAATTAGACCGGCGTATCTACTACGGATTAGCAACACAGTACTAAACAACAGGTCGTTCCCTGGCATACCTTTGGAGCACCGTGTTTGTTAAAGTAAGCCCACTGTCTGTAGTCTCCAGTAACGCTGTAACTCAGTTTATATGTAGTCACCCAGTAACTGCTTGAATAATAGCCCTGCGTAGCTACAGCCGTTATCTTCTTAATCGTTCTCAGATCCACCTGTAAATATATATTCTTGCTTCCTTTTGTATACCACCCGTAGCTGCTGTGAATTCGAGCGTAATTTGGGTTACTTCCACTCGATGTAGAGAATTCGTTGTTCTTAATTCTGTAGTCTTCAGCTCCAAGTGGATCTGAACAAACTGTTTAGAAAATAACAACAGTTTGTGCTTAAAACTTATATATAGACTTATTAAACATAGGGACAGAGACGTTTCTCGCGGCCAAACGGGGAGTKTACATTTTATTTTGTGAAGTCAATTTGAGATGAAAAACGGCAGCTTGGATAATTTCTAAAGCAGCATCATTGAGTAAATTTCCATACCATGTTTGCATCCATACAATTCGACACGTAGGCAGTACCAGCCATAGTAATGTCGAGGCCATAGGCGGACATATCGAGCTACGATGCTGTATTTTAGGGTATTGGTATGGATGCTATCAGGTGTCCAGCCATTACCTGGAAAGTACTATAAAACTGTTTTGCTTAACAGAGTGGTTTCCATAGTATTATGAAACTGATTTACCAAGCTAATAGCCAATAGGACGTAAGCCCATATAAAACATTTGTTTTCCTTTGTAGTGTTTTTTGAATATGACAATTAGTAACTGTCGGCAAACACTGACACAAGTAATGTTTCACTATGTTTAYTATGAAAACCACCCTAGTGCTTTCATTGAAAGTCATTGTTTCTCAGATTCACTACCTTATAATTGAGAGAACTGTCAGGTYTCCTGTAATATGTCCATTTCATTCCATCAATACTGTACTGCAGGTAGWAGCTATTCGTTCTGTAGCTGGATCTTTGTCTTCCTTGGGTAGCGATTTTAGTAACTGTTTTGACCTCTCCTAAGTCTATCTGGAGATACTGTCCACTAGAGGTAGTGCACCAACCATTGCCATAGTTCAGCCTTCCATAGTAAGGGTAGAAGGATGAGGAGCGGTAGTTAGATGCTGTGATAGCGTTATTTGGTATCCGCATGTCTTCCATTCCCAGAGGAATCATGCATCTTCGAACTATAGAAATCAACGCAGAATGAAAAGTTTTTCATAAACACAACTCGTGATTCAAAACCTTTTCTCGTGTTCTCCCAAAAATCTCGTGTGTTTCTAACAGAGAATCGAAACACAGAAAATGAACTTACCCTAACATTTGTAAAGCAATATATCTCCTATGAAAAACAGCAAAAATATCCTCACCGTTTCTGCATCCATAGACCTCTACTCTCATAGAAGTACGTTTATGTGTCCAAGCCTGTTGGAACCTTATATAACGAGCGTAGATAGGCGGGGACAGGACGTTGGTGACAACTGTATTACGGTCTGTGTTACCACTGAAATACTAGACATAAAATATGTATAGTTTAATCAACAAGTCGCGAGTCGTGCAATCCATATACACCTTATTGAAGAACTGTTCGGCTAGAAAAAGGTTATAATTGAAGTGAACAGCGAATGGGAACATGCTCACAATTGAGCATGGATACAGCCTGTTCAGGAACAGAAACATTGCTATACACATAATTCTCACTCTGATTTTTTTCCCATCAAAAGAAAAAACAGCAACAACAACAACAACAACATCAGCAACAACAACAACAACAACAACAACAGCAACAACAACAACAACAACGACAACAGCAACAACAACAACAACAGCAACAACAACATCAGCAACAACAACATCACCACCAACAACAACAACAGTAACAACAACAACATTTATGCTTTAGTAAAAAGAAATAAATTCAAAAAAACATCAGTCAGGCTAAAGGCTTTCTTTTCTCTATTTAATGTATTCCTTTTTTACTAAATGTCATTAGTTTTTAAGTTCCTTGTTTTTCATCTTCTTTATACACCCCCTCCCTTGGGATTAACTTTTGCTATCAGTAAAATGAAATCTCAAGCTGACAAATAGAAATTAGAATTATGTCTTACTTTATCATAACTCCTATAATCTTTGTAGTATGGCCAGTGAACCCCGTCAATACTGTAGCGTAAGCGGTATCTCCTGACCCATTCATCAGCRTCATATCGTCCTTGTGTAGCAACCTTGGTCACCTTGGCAACATCACCCAAATCAATTTGAAGCCAGCTACCGCCAGTCCAGGCACCATACCTTCCAGTAAGGTGCAGTCTACCTCGGCTTGGTCCGCTTTTTGAGCTTTTGCTGCCGTCAGCTGTGATCTGATGGTCAAGGATTCTTCCATCTTCCATTCCAAGGGGGAGGTCGCAACGATGAGCTATATGAGTAATGAATAGATAAATATATGGATTTCAAAAATACCAGAATATTGCGTACGGCTGAATAATTAATAGATAATACTAAAATTGAGGATATTTAGTAAAATGCGTCTAAAATGACTTCATGCCTGTCTTTAGCTTCAATTTGCGGGAGACCTGTGCCTTTCCATGGCGATGTCAATCGAGGACCAGTCGTCCCTTTATTGTCTTGTCATTGCCGAATATCTCGGTCTCAAGTGGGTAATCACGTGGTTTCTAGTCTGTGGGCGAACTACTACGACATTGCGATCGACTGCCGTTCATTCTCAATGAATGATTTTTCAAATATCAAATAAACAAAGAAGCATTGTTAAATTTAACAGGCATCTGATAACGGGAAGACGCAATTAATACAGTATTTTGGGAATGAATTTACGCAACACATTATAAGTATACATTTTCCGCTTGAAAAAGAAATTCAATAATAAGAAAAGTAAATATTGACTTTATATTGTCTTAAGTTATTAGTCCTGACGTTGGGAAAATTTAAATAGTGACCATCAATATTATTTAAACTATTGATTACCAARGATGCTATGGGTATAAGCGATCTCTTAGCTTCAAATTGTTGAATAGCACGTTACCTCTTTGCGGGTGGTAGGAATAGGATTTYTTCGTTAATATAGTCCTTTTCTGGTCATTTTCATCTTGCTGTTCCAAATCCTGAAAAAGAAAAATGAAATAAAAAAATCAAAAAAACAATATATCCTCGTTCTCGGTATTGAGGAAGAGCTTCGACCAATGCAAACTAGAGGCTAAAATTGGAATAACAAAATCAAAAACAACAAAATGSTCCACAACATGTATGAAATGTAGTTTTCATTTTGGTAACGGGGTTCAATTGTCACATTTATTATTAAAATAATTCTATCATTACTGACAACAGTTTCAAAAGTGGAAAAAGCTTGGAAAAAGATGTTTGACTTCTCAAAACGGTAAGAAATCCGTTAAAATAGCAAAACATTATGTGTAAAACCTGCTAAATATTTCTAAAATACCTTTTCGTTTTCAGCCCCATTTGTTTCTTKGAGACCAAGAAGAGCCAAGACACCAAAAGTTAAAAGTAGAAATCTCATGTTTTGGAGAATAGTCGTTCCTTCTCTGAGCTAGAATACTCAGAATGAATGATTTTCTAATGGTTGGAAATATTATTGCACGGATTCGATGCATTCTAACTGTTAACGATGCTCAACAAGAAAAAAGGGCAGAATGACAAGGTGTTTGCTGAAGGTGAACAGTTCCTTGTTTGAATTTATTGCAGYGGGAAGTTTTTCGGGAAATCATCCGTATTTTTCTCTTTATTATTGCATGCAATACTTCTTTTTTTTCGGTACTTATAAAAATATTTTTCTCACTATTTTCTTCTCTTATTCAATTCATTTTATCTCACTTGGTTTCGATTGATTGACATACTGACAATAATTAATTAAATACGCTTGAAGAAGGCTTCGTATAACAAGGAAGACTTTGAAATGAACGTCTATATCATTTAAGCTACCAATCTTGCTAAGCATTAATTATATTTTTTCTTCGTACATGAACAGTAGTGAGATCATATTTTGTAGCATTTGTTATCTTGTGCAAGGCAAGATTGCAATTCAGGGATGTTTTTAGGACTTCCTTTTTCAGCTTATTTACCTCGTAGTGTTTGTCTTCCTGTATATTCCTATATTCCTMTCTCTAACTTCCTTTTTTTATTCTTTCCTATAACTTCCTTTACTTTTATATTTCATATTTTATCACAGCTGAAAACAACTGTTCCCTTCGAGCGTTGTTGTCCCATTATGAGATACCTTGAAATTAAGTCCTATTTGTTTTGGGTGATTTCGAAAATGAGATTTGGTCGAGTCAATATAAAACTTATTCTATTCCTAAATTCTAAAGACTGACAGAAAAGGAATTTCTAAATAATGTGCAGAAATAGTACATTTAGAATATGTAGAATCAATAAAAGCTGTTGAGCAAGAAGTTTAGATATCGTACCCTCCCCTCCCTAAGCATTAATTGTTATACTCAACCGATATTAAATAATTTTCTATGCCATTGGACATTAAGAATGTATAGCAATCAAAATACTCATTGTGGTMTTTCTAAGTGGTTTTAGACACCAGCTAACAAGAACACTTGAATATTCATGTTATCAGTAACAGACGCTGGTCAGAAAAAGGYAGAGATTTTTAAGTTCCGTGAACTTTTGGTGTTTTGCTGGAAATACTTTCAAAGAACATTGCAAAGGTATGGTATTTAGTATCTAAAATGAAGGAGACTATAGCATTTTATTTTGAAGTGAAATTAGGTTATAACTTTTATTGGTACTTGGTAAKTTCGAGTGTATAGCGTTGTTTATAGTCTGATGTAAATAGGAATTTCAGTATATGCAGAGATTTGATATACTAAATCAATGCCAAAAAAGATTCATTTATGCGATTTATTTGTTCCTTTTTTCGACAATTAAGTGAAATCCAATTAGTGTACAATTGAATGTACATAAATGTGTTAAACTGACAGCTTAATTTGCCTAGATATTATGCTCAWTTATTTGAACTTTGTTCAGATATGATAASRAAATGCGTGATAGATGGAAGATTGTGCACAAATGCAGTTTGAGCACAGTTTATAATTGATGAAGTCTTACTACAGCTTACGAACTATATGTACCAGCTACATAGATCAGTATCATTCGATTCATGGCCCATTTATATTCTATTTGTAGGGGTACATACGAAACTAGGCTAGAATATAAGGGAAATCGGCGATAGAATCACAGTACGCGTATTCATCCAAAAATTGAGAGATTTTGGATATAATCAGAAAATATTATGGACATGGTTCAAAGTTTAGTCTAAGAATTCAAACATCAATTATCGCTATTGAATATTTCAGTTCTAAGCACTTGATTTTGCAATCACGCCGTGCGAAAATGCCAAAGGGCTAAATTATATAATGGATAAAACGATGAATTGCTTAGCGAGATATTCATTTTAATCTTATAATATCTTACTAATAATGTGACAAAACATCAGACTGTTATTGGTGCAAAAGCTTTTTATTGTTTTCGAAACTTGATGTATTGTTTTTTCGAACAAARGATGGATTATTACCATTAGCACCCCTTTGTTCTTCGCTGTTCCARTCTTTTTGGCTGAAAAGTAACTCATCGTGAACTCGATCAAACTGTTTTTACAAATCATTACATATTTGATCAAGTATTCGAATCATTTTTTTCTCGGAATATGGAATAATCAGTGATCGTGTGTTCGAAACGGTTCTTTTATGCACAATAAGCGGAATTAATTCATTTCGAAACTAACTGGGGATCAAAAACTTGTTGATACCAATCGCGCTTCATGTGAGGCATATTGGAGATCATTATATTTAGCTAATTACATTTTGTTTCTCTGGGAAAGAACGATATCAGACCACTACCCTTCAATTGCCGCTAATTCCATTGTTTTTCATGAGTGTACCACTGACCATTGCACCGTGACTAGTTATAGTTCTTAAGGGTCTTGTAATATATCTTAGATTTCTTTTTTGGTTGATTAATTATCTGTAYAAATATATCTCGGTCAAAAATAAGTTATCATTAATAGGTGTAATTGTCATACAAAGATGACACCAAACCCGTGAATGGCACTTTGATTAGATTTTACTGACAGACAAAACCATCATCGTAAACAGTGCTAATTGCAATGGAGAAAAACAATGGAGTTTTATCAAGATTTTGGAAGACTTACTGACCATTGTTTAACAAAATTGGTCTACTAGGTCATKCTTATTGGGATTCCTAGTCTAGAATGCTAAGCATTTAGAGCGGCAGTAAGCACCACGTTCAGAGTCCGGAAGCAACAGTACCATAACATTTTGTTTTGATTTCATGTTTGTTACTAGTTATTTCTATAGGTTTGTGGTTTCGCTCTATGACTCCGTGATTCAAACTGAGAATTTTATTGCACATCGACCACAAGCAGGTATCACGTGATRATAGCGTGAATGGAACACAGTTACTTACGAATACCTATCTAGTTACGGACTTATTCTATTGATAAAGGTACCCCTATGTAACTTTAGAAAATTTCTGTCCTTGTAGTAAATGGAGACACCCTTCCTCTGTTTTACACCCCCTGTTTCTATTACAGCACCCTTCTTTCATGGCATAGGCATCTATCACGCAGAAACCTCTACTTTACGGACACCTCTATATTACGAACACCTCTATATTACAGACACCTCTATACTACAGACACCTCTATATTACAGACACCTCTATATTACGAACACCTCTACGTTTACAGACATTGAATCGTTACGACGAAGTTTCAGGTCTTAGTAAAAATAGTCTCTGTACAAAGACGCCTCTGTTTGATTTCTGCGGCAGGGTTTGTATTGATAAGATGGATTGAAGAGCCACTCTACCATTTCCGATTGTTTTCGTAAATATGACCCCTGCAGAGCAAGAGCTTTGTCTATCTCGCATAAAGTGTATTAAAAGATTATAACATTCCTAGTAATCGTGCACCCTAGCTGATGATAGCCTTAAACATTTCAACCAATAATATATAGTAGAGTAAAGGTTAAAGTAGTGATTAAAGTTTTGATGATTACTATTGTGATGATTGATGATATTTAATCATAATCATTACAATTGGAATCAACAGCAACCTGAGCTATTAGAGATTGGGTCCTATGCTATGCAYYTTCMCGGAAAAAAATCTGGTTAAATTAAGTTGCGAAAGAATGAATATAAGTCATATGAAGTAGGTGGTCTGTCTTTATTTCACGGGTTTGGTGACGTTCCTGGTAGTAAATCGGAATGAATGTGAACCCTGGTGCAAAGGTACGGATCACGACACCGGGACCGCGCAATCCAGTTTAGTATTATTATATGACTTAATTGTAAAAATAACTGCTAAGTATTGTTTTAATGTTCTAAATCTGTACAATAACTTAGTACGCTAGTATACCTTGTTTGTTAAAGTTAAATTTTATGTTCTAATGTACCTTTTTTTGGTATTTATGGAATAAAGAATTATTATTATTATTATTAACCTATACAACCTTACCAGAGATGAAACAGTCATGAATGGTAAAGTTTGTTCATATAGTACAAGCTACAATGGACAAAAGGCTGATTCTTGGATGCAGTAATCTTATGGCTTACATTGTAATAATATATAAAAGATAAAATATAATGATAACGGTATCAGGTTGACAAATACTCTTCTTATTTGTGTCAGATGTCTATTATATTCTATAGGGTCTTTTAGCTACTGTTAATTCAGGTCCCCATTTTTTCGAATGAGCTTTCGAAAATTCAAACCTTAGCCATGTTTTTATGACACGGACCGGATTAGGGGAAGCTCATTAGGGTGGCCAGCCAACCCCTTTTTTGGAGTTCAAAAATATAGAAATTTAAAATTATGATGTAAATGAAGAAATTAAATCTGAATTGGACTCATTCTGAAAAAAAAAAAAAAAACTAAAGCAGCGTTCACCTGAAGTGAAATTTCATTTTCTGAAGCCCTGAAGTCTTTACTATGTTGAATATTTTGTCTTGAGTTGACAACCCTTCTGGATCCGCAAATGTATTCAAATTATCAAAGAGTTCGCTATAACSAATAAGCTGCTATTTCAGTGCATGGCTTTACTAATTCTTGTTCTTAAGTGTTAAATACGCCATAACAWGTCTTAGTGCAAATACTGTCATGGATACTACTAATGTGCTATCACTACCACTTTATTTTTTCAACAAAAGTATCTTTTTACCGAACAGTTTTGTTATCTAAAATTACTGCCATATTTCAAATTTCCTCTCCGCCCATCATGGATTTGCTMAAATGCATAACCTTTGATATTAATWAAATTGGAACATTTTCTAAATCCGTTACAATTTRTTCCACAAAATCCGTGACATAATCACTAAAACTTTCGCGTGGGCGTGACATTGCGTGACTAACGTGACAGGGTGTGTAAGCGTCTTGACATTCTGCTAGGGTAACCGCGTTACATATCAAAATGGCGGGCGTCCTGGCGTCGTAAACACTAAGATACTTGAATTGTTTCTGGCTGTGAAAGGTAAATCTAAGAGTCAATAATTATATAGAATTATATAGAATAAAATCCGGAAATATTTCGCATCGTGATATCGTCGAATTACCTCGACAACTGGTGAGTTTTATGTTGAAAGAATCGTAAAATCCTTTGAGCGGTTTCACGGATTATAYTTTCTCAACGTAAAAGACAATAACTGCTATGAAATCGTTCGCTTGTTTAGCCATTTAGAAATCAACTYCTGTGCTTTCAGTAGAAAATTTAGCCAATTAATTAACATTGAAAGTATCGAAAGCCGTTGTACTTTTGGAGATTACTTTTAATAAGTTTTACGCTATTTAACAAACAACTAATATCTTTATACCATTAGAAATAATCGAGGTTTTAATAGACTGATGTGTACATAATTTTATTTTGTAAAAAAACATTAACTATAAGAGCTTATGGAGGTTCAAGTATAAAATCTATTGTAACAGAATCGTCAGGGCATGATAACAGGGTAAGTTGAATAGCATCTTGCGTATTTACATTTCGAAACAAGTTCAAAAATCTGTTTACATTTCGTGTTGAATTTTAATGTGTTTCACAGTTGTACGCCGGTGCTTGTTTGTTGCCGAAGGTTTAGAATTCCAACAATGCAAGAATGGTCTAGATTTACTTACAGAGCACTCGATTTTCAAGACAGAATGAATTTTTTTTTCATTTGCGGCAAATTTCGAGACAAAACCGCTAGAGCAGATCTCAATTTTTTTTTTAAATTTGAAATCGGATATTTTGGAAGAATTGTTGAAGTGTTTACTTCAGGAATCAGGAAAGCCATTTCAGTGTTGTGGAGTGTTATCGAAACTCACATATCTACAAAAGTTGCTGCAATATTACAAAAAACTGTCAAAGTACAATGTCACTCATCTTGATTCTTCTAGAACGTTTAGGTCAGCATGCAATGTCACCTCTACACTTAAATGGTTTTTCTGAATGACATTTCATAGGCTTCTCTGGCTGACACTAGATTGGCTTTGTTTCCTTACATTCAACTGGCTTTTTCTTCTGACACCTAATTGGCTTCTTTTCCAAAAATCCTGACAATATCACGAATTTAAAAGTATGTTATCTCAAATAGATGTATTTAATAAGCAATATCTATGATACCACATAAAAGGAGTTATGGCTATTTTTGTTTATGTCTGAAATTGAAGATGATTAGATGTTATCACTCCCTCAGTCTAAGAGTCTGAAACAACTCGATTTTACTGTTGTAATCCTCTATAAATTTAACCTTYATCTAAATGAATTCTTGACCTTGCTTTGCATTTACATGTACTCTGAATTTAGACTTATAATTTGGAATTATGTAAATTATACTTATAACAATCTATTCACAAAAAAGTATACTAATTGTTTCATAGATTAATTGTGTTCTCTGGTAAATATTTAGTTTTTCTAGGTTTTTAGTGTTTTATTTGTGTTACAAAATTTTGAAAAAAAAAGTTGATATTAATCATTTCTCTCTAGTTAATCAACCCATGTGACTTGGTAACCTATAACGCCTGTTAGACATTCATTAAGATGTACGGCACCCGTACAGAAACCATAACTCGAAAAGAAGTGCGACATGTGCGCACAGTAAATGGCAAAGTTGTCCAAGATGATTTTGACCAGCAAACAGAYCGAGACATTGAATTCARTCCAGGTAAAAGAAGCTATCAAGCTATTACTGGCGTATTTCCCAATGCTATCCAGAATGGATCACCAAGGAAACCCAAAGAAATGGTATTTGAAACCGAAACAGAAGTTCAACATGCTCCAAGAGGAAGCTTTGATGATGACAGACCTATTAAACTACCAATAAAGACATTTAATATATCWGATGGRTCAGAGTCTAGTGGTCATGACTTTGCAGATGCACCACCTCAAGCTGCAGGKGTAAGTGCAAGGTCTGGGTACTCGTCAGATAGGGACKTTCCTAGACGGAGGAGTAGTTCAGGGTCGTCAGGGGGGCTCAAGAGTGCCAGTGTAACTCTACCAATGAAAACAAACACTTTAACAAGAAGAGGGACTCCTTCACCAGTTGGTGGACGAGGTATGCTGTTAATATCTTTKAATATTTTTCATTATTATAGAATATTAATTGTCATCTTTATTATTAGTTCAATCGTTGAAATGATTCAAAACTTCCTTACATTAGTTTTCACTCTTCAGATTACAAACAAAGCCACATTAATAAATCTTTATTAGAATCCATTTCCAAAGATGTCACCATAAGCATCATTATCATGACTAAAATTTTTTCAAATAATTTAATCTCATTCCTATCCTGCATCTAGTTGTTTGACTTTATGACAAACTTTTCTCACGCTTGTTTTGTCTTTTTAACTTCAGTAAACTATAACATAGCRTTAAAGATTGGTGAAGTGAAGGGTGATGGTGCTAATGGAAATGTTTACATTCAACTGTTTGGAGCAAATGGAGACTCRCCCAAAATAAACTTACGGCAAGCTGGAGATGAACAGCATGCTTTCAAAGAGGGTGATCTGTATAGGTTTACTGTCAGCGATACAGACATTGGCAAGGTATGTAAAGTGAATGAATGAATGGATTTTACAAACACTTGAGGAAATCCTTGTTTCAAAGAAATAAATGACTGAAAACTTGCTGATACAAACATGGTACCAAGGAAGTCTTTTATAAAGAAAGATATTTAGATGAGCAAAATGTTTTATAATCTCTTTCAGATTGATAGAATTAAGCTCAGTCATGATCATATGGATTATGGTTCTGGGTTCTTTGTYGAAGAAGTAGAGGTTGAGATCCCATCAAGGCACGACAGTTATAAATTCCCATGTAATTTTTGGTTATCSCAAGAGCGACATCAAAGACCAAGCCGAAACAGCACTTCAGAACCTCACAACGGTAAGACTGGATCTTGATTTTCCATCATTTTGAATTAAAGGGACACTGTCAATGGCACGCATGCGCTAGTAAACTTGAAAACATTAGGCTAGTGTAATGACTCCAAGTTGGTGCGACATAAATCAGATCGTAAACGTAAACAGATCTAAAATATTCCAAAGTGTGTCAAAAGCACCACAAAATGATTTACCTCGAAGATGATACTTTCAAAATCCGTTAGAGGTGAGACTGTTACTGTGCATGTCATCCATTGACAGTGTCCCTTTAAAGTGCTACTTGCATGAAAATGGCCTTATTTCAAAACTTCAAGCAATACAAATATATGATTCATTTATATATATTAAAAACAATTGCGGGAAAATATTTGTCTTGAAATTATCTTACATCAGAGAAATTTTGATTCAAAAGATGGAAGAACAAAAGGATTGAGTAGATGACGTCATCTACTCCAACATTTTTTGCCCAAATTATWAAGRAHTTGCATGAATATTTTCTTGAAATCTGTTGCTTCATGATTATTACACCCATATGGATAGGTCTATTTGAATTCCAAGCCTTTTCTAATGTTTCGCAATTTTCGTCCAAGTAGCCCTTTAAACATCAACT